GAGGCTTCCTTGTAACATCTCAAGCACCTTACTCATTGATGGTCTGTTTGATGGAATTGTTTGAATGCACCAAAGGCTCACTACTATCATCTTCCTAGTCATTTCTTCTTCCTCATCAGCTATGATTCTGTCAAGATTCAATTTTTCTGATTTTTCAAGCTGTTTGTACAGCCACGTCGGAAAATACATTTCACTGGAGTGAGACTCTTCCAGATTAACATTTTTTCTTCTTCCCCCAATCATTTCCAGCACCAACATGCCATAACTATAGACATCAGATTTGTACGAAACTCCTCCAAAGTTTCGACAAAATACCTCTGGAGCAACATATCCACAAGTTCCTCTGGCCGCCGTTATCGAGACAATAGTATCTCTCGTTTCACATAATTTAGCGAGACCAAAATCAGAGATCTTAGGATAGAAGTTGGCATCTAAGAGGATGTTTTGGGGCTTTATGTCAAAGTGTAAAATCCTTGTGTTACAACCTCGATGCAAGTATTCAAGTCCTCGACCAATGCCTAGAGCTATCTCATACAAGGTCTTGATTGCAAGCTGATGGCCTTTTTCTGTAGATCCTTTGTTATAAATGAACTTATCCAGGGATCCATTGTGCATGAATTCATAAACTAAAGCTCTTTTTGACCTCTCATAACAAAACCCCATCAAAGTGACTATATTGACATGGGACGTTCTGCTAATGCTAGCAACTTCATTGATGAAATCCTGTCCATCCCCTTCAGATTTTCTCAGTACTTTTACTGCCACAATATGGCCATCAAGTAATTCCCCTTTATATACGCTGCCGTATCCTCCTTGACCCAATTTATCTTTGAATGAGTTGGTTATTTTCTTGATGTCTGAATAGGAAAACCTCTTGGGAGCAAGCGAACCATACTGAAGAAGGAATGCCTCAACCCTTTCTTTAGAAGGATCAAAATTATGAGTTGCTTCTTCAAGCTCAGAGTTGCTGAAGACCTGTACTTCAAAGTAGGTGCTTCCCTTTTCTGGGTCAGACTTGGTTGAGGAACAAGAACGAATGCTTTCAGAATGAGTAGTGGAGGGAGTAGTAGGGCCCAGGCCTTTGCTTGATGGAGGAGTTGCAGGCAAGTCTTTGCTTTGAGATTGAGCAGCAATTCTCTTTCTCCTCTGATAGCATAATAACAACCAGCCTCCCAGAAGAATACCAGAAATTATTCCACCAGCTATAAAGAGGCCTAAAGATCAAAAACAGAAAAGAATGTTCAAATTATAACTCACCTTTGGTAAAAATGTTAGTACTAGAAAAATATAATACATTAAGGTTAATTACCTGTTTGGAGTGGTACTTTCCTCTTGTCTGCAACAATCACGAGATTCAAAAATTCAGTTAAAACATCTATGACAGAATTGTAACAATTGAATTGAACATCAAGACAGACCAAGCTATAAACCTCTGAAGTTCAGGTGAACTTAATTATGGTTCTAGGAGCAAAACATCTATGACGCCTGGACCGAAGTACACTCATATAACAGCGAGAGATTTTGGTTGTCTGGGCTGAGATTGAATAAAGCGGAACTCAGATTGGTGTTAGCGAATTCTTGGGTATATGTGTTGTACGGATCCGAGCGGGAAAGCGTCATGCTCTGTTTGTTTTGGTCGAGTTGAATGATCCTGTAACTCAGTGAGCCCAGAATTAACTCGGGGATTCCGTTGTCGGTGCAGTTGATGCGGAATTTCGCCGGGCCGCAGTATGACGGACCGTGCCTGCCGGTGTAATGGGTAAGAGAGGTTTTGGAGGCCCCCGCATGAGAAAGTCTGGCCGCAGTTGGGGAAGGCGGAAGTGTTGTTTTGGCTAGAGGAATGCGTTCCATGGGCGGAAAGGAAGAAGGTGAGCGGGAAATGGAGGACGAGAGGGAGCACAGCGGAGGCGAGAGGAGAGGCGGGGGGCGGAATGGGTGTTGCATTTTGAGAAAAGAAAGCTCGCGGGCTTGACGGGGCAAGTGAGTTGACTGTTGACTAGGGACGATGGTTTTGTTGACTCGAACTAAACGGTGAAACTTCAAAGTTTTGTTGGTTACAAAACAAAAGTGGCAATGCTTAGAGCATTGAACTATCTAATCGCACTCGGCCTCTGCGTTCCTAAATAATCATCACGATTCACGAAGAATAGCTGGAAGCACTATGAGGAGTTTCCAAAATGGAGTCCTCCTCTGAGATGATTGATTCTTTGTACGAGAAGTAGATTAGAAGGGAAACCTCTAATGACACCTCTCCTAAAATTTAGCCATTCCTTCGCTATTTTTTTTTTTTAACCAGAAAAAATTTTGAAAAAAGTATAAATATTATAATTGTTTCAATAAAAATTTATATTTTAATATAAATAAATATATTTAATGTATTATTTTAACTTCCCAAAGATTATTAGTGCCATTCCTTCGCTATTCTTGCTCATTAAAAGAAGATTAATAAAAATATGAAATAGACTTTCTCTACTAGATATTGTATTTAGGAAAAAGTGTTTTTATATATTTTTTAATTTTTTCAAAGAAATTATTTAAAATTTTATATTTTAATTAATATTTTTAAAAATCAACAATTAAATAAAAAATTTTATTCATATAAGTCATATATATTAAATATTTTAAAATTCAATGCCCTCAAATTTCTTAACAAACAAAAACCTAAGGTATTAATTTTAGTTTTAAGTTTGAAATTTTAAATTTTAATTTTAGAAAATAAATATACGTACCAGGGGGGCTGATCGCCAAAGAGCCTGTAGGACAAACAAAATCATGAGGTCGATCAGTGCAGTAACAAGAAAATTTTTCCAAAACCGAATCATGCCCACATTGCCCGCCGGAGCCCCTGCACCGATCACACAGGCTATTATGTGCCTTCCACTGCAACCCAAATCCTTTGACTAGAGCTTCAACTAGATGTTCCCAGCTCAGACTCTGACTTGTCTCCACAGACTGGATTTCGGATTGGTTTGCAGCCAAAACAACCCGCTCACCGCAACTACCCAAGAAGCCGCTGATTGCAGTAGCATTCGAAGCCAGGTCGGCTAACTCACTAAGATTTCCGGTGAGGAAATAGCCGGACAAGGTGGTTGTGCTTACATTACAAGTAAAATTACTGAAGAACTCAGTTCCCTGATTTGGTGTTGGAGTTGGAGGAGGAGGACAATGATAATAGAGGTCTATATATTGAGTATCGGGAGTAAATTCAAATATGCGAGGATTCAGAGTGGTGTTGATTAGTAAGGTGGGGCAGACGTTGACTAGATAATCGGTTCCGGCCAAGGTGAGAAGCCGGGACTCGTTGTTGATTCCAAGGACGTGGTATGTTGCTGACATGATTGTGATCTCCGGGGTGGAATCACTGCAGTTCAGCTGGAACCCCGGGAAGCCACAGTACTTCGGCCTGTCTGAACCCCAGAAAGGATAACCAATATTCTCAATGCTTCCACAGGCGAAAGTCCCGTTGCAGTTCAGATAATGTTCATCCACAGAGGATGCAAATTTAGGAGCATAGATCAAGACGAAGCTGATGATGATGATGATGAAGAAAGGCCCAGGCAGGTGAGGGGGATGCATTTTCTCAGATGAAACAGAGGAGAGAAAATGAGAAGATGGGGATGAAGAGTTGCAAATGATGGTTTTTGACATGTTGAAAGATAAGAAAAGGTCGTGTTTTTTGACTAAATGAAAGGGTGAGATTTATCAAAGAGAGGTTCTATTAATTGGAAATTTGAAACGATTAAATTAGTGGGAGCCACATGAAAATGAAATTAAACTAACAGTATACGAATTGCAAAAAAGATGAATGAGTTTTACCCAGTGTCTTTTTTTTTTTTTTT